ATGAGCCCAAAGTGATCAGCTGCGCTGATTTTTAAGAGAACATGGTTTTATATAATCTTGATAACTGACTAGTATGTTTCGCATATTTTCATGCTAGTGAAGTTCACGTTGAAATATAACCTCTACATGAAGTTATAAAAAGGTATGGGAATACAGGACTTTGGGGAGGTGGTTATGTCATGAGGTTACAGCCCCCATTTATGGGGTTAATGGCATATTATAAGATATTCCAGGACTGAGGAAGTAGCACAGTGGTGGAATAGTTTACTAACACATGGTCAGTGAACACAAGGCCTCCTGATTGGGTTTGGTCCCTGGCGCTGGAGAGAAGGGGGTGGGGGGAGGAAGAGGGGGAGGGAGAAGGGGAAGGACAGAATGAGGAGGCTTATCTTCTCTCACGTAGGTAAACATTAGCTGACTTGGAGATCATGAAAGACAGACTCCTCGAAATCAGCTCTGTAACCCTCTCCTATGTCCCCAAGAACATACTAATTTAAGGGGAAAAATATCACAAATGCCCTTGTTAGAATCTGCAATACCATGTAGAAGGCAGCTGGAAACATCACAATTGCCCCCAACATTAGGACACAATTCCACACAAAGAGGAGAAAGGTGAAGCCCATTTCTGAAGCCCATTGCTCAGAAGAAGGTTTTATAGATACATTCTACAATTTTTCTTCGATTGTTTTAACACATTCTGTTCCTTATGTTTTTGTTTGTTTAAGAAAAAAACTGGATCTGAGTGACAACTCAAGTCCTCAGTAGAGACATGACATTCTCAACTGTCGCCAAGCCAACCACAAACTTTGATCTACAATGCTGTCCTACCTGCTAGGCAATGGTGGTACAGAGCTTATTTGAGTAACCAAGCAATATCTAATTGAAGGCCCACCCCACAAGATGGAACCTGTATCTGTCAGTGCCTATGTAACAAAAACCTGAGACTAGATAGCTCAGGGACCTAGGGTAAAGCCAGATGCTATTGTTCTAAGAAAAAAAAAGTAGCAATGAAATGATATTCTGCTGTACTCATAGATCAGTGCCTTGCTTAGCCATCATCAGAGAAGCTTCCTCCTGCAGCAGATGTGAATACAAAGACCCACAGCTAGACAATATACAGAGAGCGAGAGACCATGGAACACTCAGCCATAAATGAGGAGATGTCACCATCCAATCTCTCCCCTAAGAGCTCAGGGAAGAAGAGGCAGAAAGATTGTAAGAGCCAGAGCAAATGGAGGGCATAAAGAAAAAAAGGCCCTCTGAATCACCTAAGCAAAGCTCACATGAATTCATAGAAACTGAAACAGCATGCACAGGACCTGCACTGGTCTGCTCCAGGTTCTCTGTGTATGTATTATGGCTTCCTGTTCAGTGATTTTTGTGGGATTCCCAAGTGCTTGAATGAGTGGGTCTCATATCCTTATGTTTTCTCTTGGGTTCTTTTCCTTCCATTTGTTTATTTCGCCCAATTCTTTTTTAAATCTCACTTTGTTTTATCTTATGAAATTTATTTTAAATTTTTTGTTTTATCTTATTAAGTTTTATTTTTTGTTTCATTTTATTATTATCCCTTAGAAACCTGTTTGTTTTCTAAGGACAGACAGAGAGTGACTCCAGGTGGGAGGGGAGGTGTGGAGGGACTGGGAGAGTGGAGGGAGGGGAAACTGTAATCAGGATATTTTATGTGAGGGAAAAATTTATTTTCATTTAAAAAAAATTAAAGGGAAGAGGAGGTGAGACAGTAGACAAGCATGCTTCTGGATGCTATGAACTTTAGCTGAAAAAAAGAAAGAACACTCTGAAAGTTCATTAAGATAGGAGTTTGCACTTAAAATTAACAGCTTTGTTCAGTGACTAATACTATTTTAACAAGTTATTTAATCAACTTATGCCTCATTTTCCTTATCTATTAAGATAGGATAATACTATTCATTAATTCAGAATTTTCTGAAAACCACAAGTTAAGAACATCCATACAAGCTTTTATAATGGATAGTGTGAAGGCTAAAATACAACTATTGAGACACACAAGAAAGCAGGAATATCTCAGTCTTTAGCAATGGGACCCTGGCTGCTCGGAACCTGATTCAGCAGCTTGTGCAGCTTCTGGGAACAGAAGAAAGAAACTGGTCGGGAAGTGTATGGTCGGAACCACAGAAAGAAGCTGGTTTGAGTCTCATCCTTGACAGCCAGCTCTGTGTTGGCAAGACACTGAAAATGTCCTTGTTTCTGTGAACATTTCTATCCTGGACAGAGAACAGAAATCCTAAAATTGTTTAGGAGAACTATTTCATGTTCTGATTTCTTGTTTTCAATCTTTCTTCTCCTTTTCCGTAGAAATGAATGACCACAGCAGCCTGGAAGCTGTGTGATCAGACACTTCCCTGGTTCCCTAAGCTGTACCCAAAACTGCAGTCCAGTCCAGACACCATGGTAGAGAGGATCATGAAGACATTCTAGGACAACTGGATTGACCAGGTCATCCCTGTATGCCTGAACTTGGTGAAGTCTTATTAATACCTAGATGGACCCTTTGGGAGTATAAAAAACAACGATTAAATAGTTGTCTTTTCTGTAAAAGAAAAAGGGTTTATTACACTGTAAAAGGTTTTATTATAACAAGGAATTTAAATCTTTTTATCTCTCCCATCTCATAAAACTTTTATTTTCACAAAGTCCTTGCTACATTCTCAGAACTGAAGTATTTTAATTTTCCTTCATTTCATTTGTGCTGAGTCTTTTAAAACTAGCCAATCACAAAAGACTGTGAGGTGGGGCCCTAGCCAATAGGGGAGCAACACTGTCACCACCTACATTAGAACAAAACCAAGTGAACTTCCGGTCTCTGCTCGCTTGCTCTTCCACTTTGGTGAGTAGCCTGTACTTCTGACCAAAAGTAGAGTTTGTCCCGGTTGAGGTCTCTTGCTTTGCAACTCCAGGTTTACTCCTAATGATGGCAGTTCTCCCTTGGAATCCACTCCCATATGCACGAGTTCTACCTGTCCCCTTTCTTGTATGTTCTCACCTATAATAAAATTATCTTCTGAAACTCAACCTACCTTGTCTGTGAAATTCGTTCTGTGACGTTGCCCTGGGGTGGCTTTGGAGGCCACTGAATGTCTTGGATCCTAGTACACCCCCCTTTCAAGTTCTTCTCACCTGAGGCAAGAAGGTGTCTGCCTCAGGACCACCTGTCCTCCTCTTTTTAATGCCTTATTCAATTAGGTCCCAACCCATACTTAGCCATTGAGCTGAGCCCTGAATGGATAAATTTACAGTCTAAGAAGATAGTGAGATGTCTGCTTCTTACCCTCTCACAAAGGATCCCACACAAATGACTCCAGAGGTAAGACCAAGTAAGCTCTTAACTATCATAATAGGCCCTCCATTTCTCCCAGGAGGCAGTTCTCTCTGAGAATCCACCCTCTGCGTTTCTGTCACTCATACAGTAGTTGTTCTTTAGTAAACCTCTTGTGTTGATGCTGGCCCTGTAAGTACTTCCATCTACATTCTGTTCCTGACACATCGGAAACCAAAATATTACTTAGTTGAATATTTCTTGAATAAGTTCAGTTACAGACTCACTTTAAACACAGGTTGCTTGTGATTGCAATCCAGTTTTATCATTTTGGAAGTGGCATGGTGAAGAGCTAAGCATGTGCTTCATCTTTTCTCAACTCAGTCTTTAATAATTTAGCAAGATATTTTGACAGGCATTCCTTTCTGGAAACGAACACGCATCTTGATCCAACACATCTATAAATGTTATGAAACGCCAAGCATCAGCCCAATCCAGTCAAATTGTACTTATAGAAACATAACAAAGTTTAAGACAAAAAGCCAAAGAACTCTCTTTCATAGATGACCTATAATGGCAGGCAAATGTCTGAGTTCGAGGCCAGCCTGGTCTACAGAGGAAGTTCCAGGACAGCCAGGGCTACCCAGGGAAACCCTGTCTCGAAACACAAAAACAAACAAACAAAATTAATAATTTTCTTCACAGACCTAATAAAAATATAAGACACTGCCCTAAGTGTTCCATGTCTGAAGCGATGTTCCTGTTCCTGTTTTCACTGAACTTCAGTGTTTCTCTTAATATCCTCAATGTTCCCTTGATTTTCTGGAAGTTTTCCTTTATGTGTTTCTAAGCCAGTGACAATTAAAATAAAAATTCCAAAGGAGTAAAGCCAAAGAGGAAAAGCTACAACAATCCGATTTGCTTTGCCTACCCTTACCCCCTTCCTTATTTCCAGCCACTAATCCTCTCTCAAGCAGCACAATAGAGCAGCCAGACACAAAGAAGGGAGATAAAGCTGGCCAGCTACTGCTTTGTCCTTGTTAAACTGAACCATTTACATAGGGTTAGGAAGCTTGTTTTATCATTTAAACAGACTTAAAAGACCTTTGCAAATGAGATTTAGTTCCTACAAAAGAGCGAATTGGTGCCGTTTGGTGAGTAGCTTCTAGCCCACAGCTGAGTTGGCAGTAACCAAGCTGATTCTTGGGCCACATGTAGTGTAAGCAAAGATTGCTTCCAGCTGCTAAAACCAGGAAGCCTCAAACTGATTAAATTCTTACCAGGAGGTGAACAGGATGAGGGCCAGGCTCAAAGGCCAGTCATACCAGAACTTGAACTATACCTGAACAAACACTTTTTAGGCAGGTGCTTTAAAGGTGGCTCTGAATGTTCAAAGCCCCCTTGAATCTTCTCTTGAAAGAGAAATCAAGAGCAGACAGGCAATGAACTGAGGAGACTGAAAGACTCAACACAGTCTCCAGCTGTGAAGTGAAGACAATCTAATCTCTTTGATTCATTGTTGGTCAGACTGGCCTTGGGCAAAAAGATAAACTGAAAAACTAACTCCTTCGAGGGTGTCAGAAAAAGGTTATTAGCAGGAAAATGTGTTCTTAGCACAGAGTACACTCTTTGCACCCAAATCTTAGATTCAAAAAGACCTAGATGGTGATTCTGTACACCACACACCAGCGATATGTTTTACCTGGCACACCTTGAACAGATGTTCAGTGTGACTTTGGCCTGTGGCTCAGCAGGATGAGTAGGACGACCTTGGTTAAATTTGCTCCCCGAAAGTACCAGGGTGGTTACACCCTCCATTCTCAGGTCATCCAGATCTTCTGCAAAAACACAACAACAGAGAGAATTAAATACAGATGAATTAAACAGAGAAAGAACATGTTTTACAGTACCTCCCAGTAATTTGTAAAGTAAACCAATATGTCGTGTTTTCTATGAAAAAAAAATGTACAATTATACTTTCCAATGTTCTCTATGTACAGTTGTGTCAACAGCAACTATACAGCCTGACACCTCCAGCTGCAGTCTGAGGGGCTTGTCCACTCAGGGAAAGCCAGATTTTACCTATACCAAAGAATTAGGATCAGTCAGCATGAGGCAGCATTGGGTTTATTAAGTAGAAAGACACACTTCAGGTTTAAGTGTGGGCATCAGTGAGCAAGACCAATATTAGGTCCATGCTAGACCTCTAAAAATGGCTGTATTGGTGACAATGTCCTTAACGGAAGGGCTCTGACAACATAAACAGAAGCCTAAATTTAGCATCCTGAGGCACCTCCTGAGGGGTAAACTGGGCTCACAAGCACATGCAGGCAGGAAGTTCACTCAGGTTTTTTTCCTAGTGCTGGTGGACACTGTGGCTTTTCCCCTTCGGTTGGGGACTGGCGTCACAGGGCACAGTCTTTCACAATTGGTTAATTTTTAAAGAACCAGTGCAAATGACATGAGGGAAAGTGGGGTAGACGGAGAAGAGCTTGCTTGTGCCAGGAATTTGGGTGAGGGGTGCTGTGGGTAGAGAAAAGTTTTACCAAGTGAGGGAGATTAAAAGACTCAAATTCCTTTGCATAACACTTCACAAGGCAGAGGGATTTATGGAATGTCTGCGGCTGGTGAGTTGCTTACTTTTGTTAGGAAAGAACACTTCTCACACTGGAAAGGAGAAAGTATGGTTGGGAACAAACCCCAAACCTCTGTCTCCCAGGACCCAAGGCTGCCTGACTGTGGGCACACCAGTCTCACGTGCCTATCCAGTATCTCTGTGATGATGACCACTATCATACAGTCTAAGTCACGTGCGGTCCATCTCACAGTTGACCTATTAACAAAGCCTGATTCCCTGCCATGCAAGACCTACTTCCTCTCCACCTTCTTGTAAGGACATCAAGAGAAGTCTCCTTTTGTCTTCTCTCTCAGCCTGAAGTTCTACTTTCAGAGCCCCGCTGTGGCCAGCATGCTTAGTGACCTTTTGCCTGAGAAAGGCGATACCCCTTTGCCTCTTTCTCAACCCCACCTATCTCTCTAATATCTAATTTGTGTGAAAATGAAATATTTGAGAAGAAGCCTTGGGGAGCCTCTCCCAGCTTTGCCGCTGTACCCCCATTTTCAACACTAGGACTTCTTGTCACACCAAGGCTCCCACAGTTCTCCATTGCCCGGCGTTTTTATTCTCTGGTGCCAATACCTTTGGCGAGTCTTCCCCATGTGTCACCAAAAATGGCTGCCCATCTCAATGCCAATAAGCCAAAGCCCCCAGTGTTAGATCAGGTTTGCCCAGACCTGCTGAATCTTAAGATGGTAAGGATTCAGTTGTGCTCTCTGCTGTGGCTTTGACCACACTTCCCAAAAGGGAAACTAGAATTCACAAGGATATTTGCTTTCTTTTCTTCAGAGTACTACTCAATCTCACTCACCTAACGATTCTCACTTTGGTTGTTTTATAAATTCAAATTCTTTATCCCGGGCATTATATGGAACACAAGCAATCAGTTTTCCTTTGTAATACTGCTTGGCCATAATGCAGAGTGGATTATGGCCATCAGTGGCCCAAAAGGGTGCCTTTGACCCTAAAATCTTTAGAAAACTTCACAGAATGCCAAGGCAAATGATAAGAAATCACTTACATTCAAGCTTTCTTCTGTCTCTATAACTGTCCCTCTCTGTCAACCTTGCACTGCATCTCAGGTCCTATTACTGCATGGAAAGTCCACTCCATTCAAGACTGAAACTAGAATCTAAAACTCCCATCTCTTCCTCCTGAAGATCAGCTTCTGGACTGTGATCCTGCAGAGTATGTCCCTCCTCCTTGGGCCTATTCACCAAACACCCCGCTACCCCAAACTGACTCCATCTCCTCTGCAGCATTCAGCCCAAGTGGTCCACATCTGGCTGACGACTTCCAGCCGCTGTGTTTTTGTCTTTGCTTCTCACTCAAAGCCAATGGGATAAGGTCAAATATCAGCGAGCCCAGGAGCCTGGTAAGCCCTAGGCAGATATTGGAAACAAACACTCTTGGTGTCCCACAAAGAAGAACCCCCTATAATACACTTACTCTAGCTGTCAAGAAAACAGATGGACCATGCTCGCTAGTTCTAGACTACCAGGCCATTAATGAAGCCATCTCACCAGTAGTATCTGTGGTACCTCTCACCTGCTCTATCCTTCTTCCTGTCCTTGTACAAACTTCTCATTCCATTGTCACTGACCTCAATGGGATTTTTTAACCACTCCACTTGGCCTTTCCTTACAAAACAGTTTTGCTTTGATTTTATCCAGATAGTCCTTTCCAACACACTATACCCATGATCCCCACTCTCACGTGAACTTCTGATATATCCCTGCACCAGTGTCCCTTTTTAAATGCACTAATGTTTCTTCCTCTTTGTTTTCCAAAAGCCATAAAATACTCACAATTTTTTTGAGATATTGGGTCATTTTTTTCAACCCCTTTCCTCTCATTTCTGTCTCTCCTTGTCAGTCAGCTCCCTGTATGCTTTATAAATAGGAATTTAACCAAAATGCAGGGAATTGCCCAAGTGGGGTGCATGGTAGGCACTTTGAAGTCAGTTCTAGAATCTGGGCCCCTTCCATCTGAAATCACTTCACAAACAGGGCATTAGCCCTACCCAAATGACTAGACTGATTCTAAATACACTTTACACATTACCCATTCTCATGCTTCCATTTGGAGGGAGAGGCAAGGCTTTAACTTGTAAGGACAATACCTAATCCTAAAGCTCCTACATGCAGCTGCTGTACCATAGAAGGCAACCATCCTCCATTGTAGGAAATAAGAAAAACAAGACTCCTTTATTAACTTGGTGATCTGCAAAGCTAATAAAAAAAAAAAAAAAAAAAAAAAGAGCTGCATTTTAAGCCCTGTACCTTCCTATGGTGATATTTTATTTGTATTCAAATGTTATTTGTATGATAATAAATAAAGTTGCCCGGGGGTCAGAGCTATTAGCAAGCCATAGGAAAGCAGGGCAGTGGTGGTGTACATTTATAATCCCAGCACTTGGTAAGCAGAGCTAGGTAAGTCTCTGTGTGTTCCAAGGCGGTCATGTGGTTGGGTTTACAACCAATGAGAAGGAAGAACAGAAACACTATAAAAAGACAGACACATAGGAAGTAATTCTGGTTTGGAGAGGTAGGACCACCTCAGGAGGAAGGGTAAGGTTTTAGCTCTTAGCTCTGACCTCTTGGCTTTCTTCTTTGCATTGGTTCTGTGTTTCTTATTTAATAAGATGGTTGGTTACATCTACACCTTCCCTTTCTGTTACATCTCCATGTAACATTTAACCCTCTACCTTATTAACCTAATAAGGTAAAATAGAAATTACCAAACGAGGGAGCCATCTTATATCAAGGTTGGCTTACAAAGGAAGGAAATTCATTTTATATAAGGGTGGAAAAACCTTAAAACCTTAGCAATGCTTCCACTTAGGAAGCTTCCAGTTCCACTTAGGTCATTTCCCACTAGCCAATCTCCTCAGTTACTCAATCCTGCCACATACATCCTCACTCACCTTGAGATTTAAGGGGAGCATTGTCTAAGAGCATTCCCTTTTCTCTGAGCCCATCTGACTTTCTTGAAAAATCACTTATCACCCTTCAGAACTGCTCCCATCTTCACAAAGGGAATATAAATCTCTTAATCTCAGGAAATCGTTGGGTAGCCATGTCCCCGAGATACCCCTATACACATGAATTCATTTGTATACATTTTCTCTTGTCAATCTGCCTATTGCTAAGGTGAGAAATAAAGACAGGGAGATTATGGGGACATAGGAAGAAAAAGGATCCCCTTGAGAAATTGAATAAAACAAAAACATTTGCTGTAAAGGCTGTTGATAGAGAGTTCATGTTCTTCTCATACATAGTAGTTTATGTTAAAGAAACAGTAAAGCCAGCTTAGGTCCTAAGTGAGTATGACATTGGGTAAGGTTTCATTTCTTCCTCTAGACATTCCTGAGAATCTCAAAGAAAATTGTTGACTTTATTTACAGTAAAGACATTTTACCTTCCTGTATCCATGAGCCAGACTTCACTTGGTCAGTTGGAATCCTGCCAGAGGCAAACACTAGGTGATCTCATTTAGGTTTCCTTTTTGTTTTTAATTAATTAATTTGTATTACATTTATTTGCATGCCTCTCCTCCCCGTCGTGTGTGTGTGTGTGTGTGTGTGTGTGTGTGTGTGTGTGTGTGTGTATACGTGTGCTATGTACACACGCCCAGAAGTTAAAACCCAACTTTTCCCTCCTTTGTCTCCTTCCACCATGTGGTTCCTTGAGATCAAACTCAAGTTTTGTTTCAACTTGTTGGCAAAGCTAACAAATGGATAACTATGTTGTTCTAGCTTTCCTTTTTATTAGTCCTGGTGGAGTCATCTTGACGGCTAGGACCTCTTTCTACACTGTGCTCAATAAAACAGGTAAAGAGGAAAAGCCTCCTGTCTTAAGGGAAAAGCTGTGGGGTTTCCTAGGTTTGGTCCTTACATCTGTGAGGCTGTTCTTTCAGCCTCGATTGGAAAGCTGTTCTTGGTTCTGAAGCATCTTAAATGTACCATTCATTGTGTTTGGCTTTGGGCGTTGGCATCCACACTCATTGCTGGTACGTGATCAATCTTTTATTACATGATCACAGTGACAATACAACAAAACGTTGAAATGTATTTGGATATGCTTGAGTATGAAAGCAAATGTGCAGGCACTCAATGGCTAGCATCTGGAGCCCTAGGCTCTAACCAAACTTCCACAAGGTAAGGAGTGTTCAGAGGCGACTGGAAGACGATATGCAAATGGATAATGGCTAAAACATACA